TCACGTGTGCATGAAAACACGTGTCACAGTACGTCTGTCGACTTACACGGGTGTCAACACCTCGGTATCCTTCAATAATAATAATAATAATAATAATTTGAAAACACACACACACATGACACAACGTTTGCATGGCAACACACAAAGTACATGACGTTCACATCGCGACACGAAGTGCATGACGTGTGCAAACGTCACGCAGGTGTATCGATCTTTCTCTATTCATCTCCATACGACACCCATGGTTGTAGTCACACACACACACACACACACACACACACACACAGAACACCACGTTTTGCCTGACAACACGCTATTCTATGCATCAACGTCAACGTCTGTTTGAAGACACACACACTCACACACACATGACATGACATTCCGATTGGCATGGGGGTGACACAACGTACATCGCGTAGGCATTCCCACGTTCATGTCTACCTATGAAGGTCCACCTTTCCTTTAGCATTCAGACGACCGTCTACCTAAAACAATACCAAGGCTACCCAAGGAAAAAAAAACTCGGATCGAAATCGGACCAATCGGAAGCCTGGGTTGTCGACCAATCAGAGGCGGCGCTCGGACCAGGCGGGGCTCTGATTGGCCGAACCGGGGTTGTGCTTTCTCTCCCATGTTAAAATCCATTTCCTATGGAAAAGAAACACAGGGGTCGGTCCGTTTTGGAAAACCGAGGTGCGGGCCAGGCCCCGGAACGAACCAATCGGAGCTGCGGCCTGGCGAACCAACCGGGAGGCAGGGTGTCAGTGCCTCTCCTATAAAACAAGAGTGGATTCGAGTGGGTCAGTGTCACTTGTAAAATTGATTGAAAAGAAAGTATCATGATGAGTAGCAGCAACAGCAACAGCAACAGCACCAGCAACAACCTCAAAGAAAACTGGGATTTAGAGATTGCTACAGTGGCACAACCTTTGCCCGGGTGGAAAAAAGCATCACCATCACCACCACCACCATGGTCTCCAGCGTGGCAATGTGCCCGGTGCCATGGGGGCCTGCCCGTCTATGCCCTTGGTACAAGGGTACGGGATGGGACTTTCGAGTGCGTCTACTGTAAGACTGTACTGAAGGACACCTACGTGCGTCGGTTAACGCACACCAGTAGGTGTCCTGTCAGACGCGAAATGAAAGCCCACCCGTGCCTTTGTACCGTGGGATGCACAACCATGTGAGCATCAAAACGGCCCTTTTCAGGGCCACCCATCTCTCCCTCCTTTGCTTTGACGACCCTCCAACCCACCTCCACCACACCGTGAACCCACCCCTCCTCCTGCTCCTCCTCCCCTCCCTCCCCTCCCACCCCTTCCCTCCCCTCCCTTCACCACCACCACCACCGCCTTTTCTATTTCTATTTTTAGAACCACACCACAACAACAACCCTGTCGATCTTGTTCACCTTGTACGTGCGCTTCTCCGGGTTTTTCCCCTATCCCTCCTCCTCCCCGGAACCGGACACGGATGCGTCGCCATCTTGGATGCGCACGCCACCGGAAACGGATGCGACGCCATCTTGGATGCGCACGCAGGTCACGTGACCGGATGTGACGTCACAGAGGTCACGTGATCCTCTCGACCAATCAGAAGCCAGGAGCGGTACCAGGGTCCTGTCCTCAACTACTGACACCTGTTGAATAGGGGCAAGACCCACAAAAAATTTGCGGTCCTGGCAGTCGTTCAACATGAGCATATTTTCTGCTGACTCAGTTTGTCCAACGTTTGTTTGTTGTTTAACGCCGCACTCAGCAATATTCCATCTATATGACGGCGGTCTGAACCAGACATTTCAGTGATTGACATCAAGACCATCGATCTACGCAATTGGGATACGATGATATGCATCAACCAAGTAGAGGCCTGACAACCCAATCCCGTTAGCGCCTCTTACAACAAGCATGGGTCGCTGAAGACGAAATTCTGTCCCAGATCTTCATGGTCTACACAGAACAATGTTTCAATTCACACCCAACACAACACGTGTAGACCTTGACTGGGAGTGACCACACGTGACCTTCTAACCACGGGGTCACGGATGGCCCACAAAGCGATTTCAGTCCGAATGTTGCTGTAACACACGATGCCGATAATAAATGACTTTAAGGCAATAACTATGATTGTATCCTTTCACTTTCTATGACAATTTTGTATTGTGATGTGATTTATTCCTCGAAAATATGGGGCGGTCGGATAGCCTAGTGGTTAAAGCGTTTGTCGTCACGCCGAATACCCGGGTTCGATTCCTGACATGGGTACAATGCGTGAAGCCCATTTCTGGTATCCCCGCCGTGATATTGCTAGAATATGGCTAAAAGCGGTGTAAAACCATACTCGCTCACTCCTGGCAAATATACCAAGTTCAGAACAAACTTACTCAAGTCATTGCCTTAATTCCAGACACTACTGCCTGTGGAAACTAGGGAAGCCCATGAGGTGAATATGACTTTATTTCTTCCATGAAAATTCAAAATAACGTGTGAAACTTCAAGATACTAATTTCGAAATTATAAGATACTTTGTTGAAATTCAAGAAACCATATTAATAATCAAAAATACCATTTTGAAATGTTAAATGCAATAACAATGTTCAAGCGTTTATTGTATTATGAACAGGTTATGAATTTTCAACATAGTGAACAAAGTTTATTGAAATTTCAAATTAGTATATTGAATTTTCAACACGCTATCTTGAATTTTTAAATTGATATATAACAGGCTGTAACTTCCACATAGTATACACACATTCGGGGCACGGGGAGCCCAGTCGTCTTAAGGCGCCGCAATTCGTTGTCCCCTTGGCACGCCAGAAACTTACGATCGTGGGTTCGAATCTCGGTTCGCCCCGTTATGTTTCTAGGCTTGTCAGCACCGTACCCGTTCTCTTAGGTTTCACCAAAGTGGTAAACGTCTGCATCACTTTGAGTTGTCCTCCCACATAAAGCTGACACGCCGTGATGTAACTGGAATACTGCTCACTCACTCACCTATACAATTTCAACATGTTATCTTGAATTTCCAAAGACCGCCTCCGTGGTCTAGTGGTAGAGCGTCCGCCCGGAGAGCGGAAGGTCCGGGGTTCGATCCCCGGCCGTGTCATACCAAAAGACTTTAAAAGATGGTACTTGTTGTTACCCTGTCTGGCATTAAGGGGCTAAAACAAGGACTGGTCGGCTCGGAGTCAGTATACTGTGTCTGAGTGGGGTATTCATGTTAAACTGCGGCATGGTATCTGAGTGGGCTGCACCTATAAATCGGCATCAGTCCGGACTAGTACAAGCAGCCACACACACACACACACACACACACGTGCATGCACGTCGCTATATAAGTGCAATAATCTTGGACGCGACGTTAAACCCAATTTCAGCTCACCTTGAATTTTCAAAAAGCGAAAAATACGATACGGCCCAAATGGGTTTGCGTATACCCGTATTTTATTTACCCGAAAATATGTAAACTAACCTAGTAACATGTAACCAAGCCACAACAAAGTGACAAACTGCGGGAATCCCTCGTTCGTTTACTCGTAGGATAAAGCGATGTCTCACCCATGGCCAACGTCAATACATTCAAGGGGCGCGCCTCATCACCAACACTACAGTCTGTCGCAGGCGGGAAGGCCGCCTCTCGCTTGACGTGGACAGTGGAGCGGGGATCCTCGCGATGCAGTGCCAGTGTGTTTGAGCAATGATGCGTCGGATTCCAATAGGACAAAACACGTGATGTACCAAATCGTGTATGCAAGTTGATTATGTCGAGCTCTCTACTTCTTAAAGGGGAAGTGTACACGCAAAAATCACTTTCTTTCTTTTTCTATACAAAACGCAATTTTAGAATTAATTAGTATCTGTGTTTGAAAATATACACTCATTTTTTTCACAGTGAAAGTAGGAAGCTCACAATAGTGTGAAAATGATATGCCGTTATGAGGCCTTCGTTTTTCGAGCTAAACAGGCCTGAGTTATCCCCCTTAGATTATGACGTAATTGGTGCCAATTCAACTGGGTCCCTGTCTATTCTCAACGCAAAAGATATCAAGTACCAGTTTGCGGTAAAACAACATGGCCTACGACACACTCCGGCGCAGTGGTGACTCAGCATAACACTATGCTGGCTGGCATCTGAGACGCTAGAATCACACACCTAGACCTACACCACGTGAAGCGGCTCTAACAAAGCATGATGACGTCATAATGTTTATCAATTGGCACCAATGACGTCATATTGCAAGGGGCATAAGCCATGGTGTTTTTGTTGTGGAAATAGAACACTTGGTAAATGTGAAAAATATAAATCGTTTTAATGCGAAAAATATGTTAATTAATTGTGATATTTTTATATTTTTGTCTATGACACTTCTAGGTTAACACTTTTAATGTGGAAAAAGTACAAGAAAAAAAGGTTAATTTCCGTGTGAACTTGCCCTTTAAGGACGGATTCTGCATGTTGAACGACTGCAGTAAAACGCACTTAATCAGGACCCCGTCATTTAGGGAACATCTATTATATACCAGTATACAGTTGAAAAAATCATAACCACCGGTTACATTTTGACATTAAACACAAACTTTTTTATGCACATATATTTAATGCATTGGCATCGACTAACACAAATTGCGGAGATCGCTTTAGTTTTAATTTTATAAGAAAGTGTTCGTTATTGACAAGTAACATTATTATGAGATTATTTCATAATCTAATAGTAGGACAATTAGTTTCAATGTTCCATTTTAAAACACAAATATTGGGCTTGTGCCAGCAGTGTGATCAATATCTGTCCTAAACTGAAAATAAAATAGTTGCTGTCGCAATTATCAGTTTAAAAATTAATTTTTGTATGGTTTGCCGCAAAAGAGATGATGATGATGATGACGATGATGACGATGATTATTATTATAAAATGATTAAACTCCAATCCTTTTTCAAATAAAATTCCTACATCAACCGCAATTGCGAAAACACAACACGCATCTCCCAGAGGTGGGTTCCACCCTTAAGGAAATAAATAATTCACAGCGTTCAGTGGCTGACGGATGCCTACTGAAGCATATCCCGTTTGAACACTCGGAACTAGCGACTATGGCGTGGGATACATATCACTGCTGGCTCCTACCCGTGTGCATCCTGCACATATTATTCTGTGAACCAGGTGGGTGTTTATTTCCGTCAATTACCAGTAAACACAGATAACGAAGCATCCCATCCCTATTTCCGTGGTTTCTTGTGTATTTACGCAGTTGTAATGGGTGACAATCCTCGTTCGGGAAGATGATGAAGATTCGTTTGTTATCTTCGCTTGTGATTCGTTAAACAATTTCATGCTAACATGTCGAAATCATACGTTCATTTTTCACATACAAATTTCCATTGAAATGTACATCTCTCGTTGCTAATGACACTGTGTCAAACAAGTGCAATATACATGGTTAGTTCTGTAATCGACAACAATACGATCGATATTGGGTTGTCGCACAAAGAAATGAAAATACCTGTTTCAGTAGGTATGGATAATTATTGGTTGATATGTACATGACGCTTCAGTTATGGGTTCTGGTATATTGAGGGTAGGGCTACAATGAACCCTGTCGATGAGGTCCCCTGAGTTAGTTTGACCTGGGAGGAGGCTGAGTTAAAGTCACAGCAAAAGCGCTTGTTATCACTGACAATGGGAGCAATGTGTGAGTTATACACGACTTATGTTAAACATGGTTTATTCACATGGAAAGGATTGAATACACGTTGCCCTCTCAATTAAACCATCATGACGACGTCACATGTTGTGGATGTAGCTGCCTGAGACCTCTGTCGGTTCGTGTATGCTTAACATGGATTAAAGTGGAGAAATGTTTCAATATTCCCTTGTTGATTGGGTATCCTTTTCAAAGGTTATATAAACGACGATTTAGATTTTTTGCACGTAATAAAGCTATGGTCCTATTGTGAGAAGTTCTGGGGTAAATACTACCGAACAAAGCTTCAAGGCAGAACGATTAATATATTTTGTTTGTTTGTTTGTTTGTTGTTTAACGCCGCACTCAGCAATATTCCAGCTTTATGACGGCGGTCTGTAAATATTCGAGTCTGGGCCAGACAATCCAGTGATTGGCACCATGAGCATCATGCTGTCACCTCTAGGCCGGTTTCTCCTCCGACCAGACAGACTGTAATGGACCATACGCCTGGTGACTGTCATTCGGCTGCAGCCAAAACTCCTTGTGACGTGGTCATGCATTTCTGCTTGCCTTACCACACTCACGGCTTGTTCGCTCTGCTGTCGCGCTACAGTTTGTGTGTGAAGGAACAGGATATTGTTATTTTATCCATATCTTTGTTGATTGGCATGCAGCAAGTGGAGCTTGCCACAACGTGTGTTTATTCATGTATGGGAGGCCATAGGCCCATGTACATTTCAGTTATATATATTAATATACAATTGAGACAATTTACATTGCAAACAATCTTAAGGGTATAATATTAGGACTTGGTACGTACTAATAGGGCTTCCTTCACATACTTAGCTACATTTCTGAGTATACAGTCATTTTTGCTATTTAAGAGATTACTAAAAGTCTTAATACATGGATTGTTATAGAATCTTACAGGAATATACTTTTGTCTTATTGTTGCGTAAAACGGGCAGACAAACACAAAATGGACTTCGTCCTCAATACAACCATTGTTACATAGCCGACAAAAGCGTTGTGAAGAATCAATATCCTCTCTTCTACCCAGATTACTCCATATAGGCAATTCACTTAATCGCAACAGGCACATCATACGTCTATGGTCTCTATTTCTGAAAGCTGTAACATAATATTCCATATCCAATAATATCTTGACGTGTGAATAATACCTTAATTTACGAGACTCATAAATTTTCATCTGTATACTCTGTTTGTTGCAATCCAACAAACGTTGTCTAAATAGCTGCAAGAAACACTTAACATCACCAATATTCTGTTCGTACCACACATTACCAAATCCATATATGTCGAGTAAATATTTAACATGAGTTGCCCAAGTAATTCTACCACATTCATCCAGCTTCTTCATTAACAAATAACACTGTCGGGGATATCTTTCATCATTCATTCTAATCAGTTTACACCAGTATTTAACACACTTCATATGATAATCCACATGCAAACCGCTTCTTCCACATTCAGCTAATATTGCCGTACTTGATACATATTAACCAACTCCTAAAACAAATTTACAAAACTTAGTATGAAAAGTTTCGACAATTTGACTACCTTTGCAGCCCCAGATCTCAGCACCATAAAGAAGAATGGGCTTTATCTTAATATCAAACAATTTAAATAAAATGTTAACTGGCATATTTACAAAGTGAAATTGCAATTGTTTAATGGCAAACAAAGCCTTATTGGCTTTTATCTTGAGAGTATCAATGCATTTAGTCCAAGACAATCTATTTGAAAACAGAACACCCAGATAACTATAGTAAGTACTTACATTTATACGTTTATCATTCAAAAACCATCGTTCATCATACCTTAAAGTACCACCTCTTCTGAAAACCAAAATTCTGGTTTTAGACATGTTAATTTCAAGTCCCCACTTTTTACAAAAATTTGATAAAATATCAATTTTTCTTTGCAGACCTATTACTGTGTCATCAAAAATACACAAATCATCTGCATATAGTAAAAGTAATATGTCCATAAACTCCTCTCCAATAAAAATCCCTCGCATATCACTACTTTCTATCATTGACTGTAATTCATGGATAAACATCGTGAACAGAAAAGGACTCAACACGCAGCCCTGTCTTACACCACTCAGTGATTCGAAATAATCTAAAAGAGAGTTATTTGATGTCCTGACAGCACACTGAATCTTAGAGTATAGATCCTTCAAAACCAAGTGGAGCACTTCAGTCGGTTGGGCGGTTTGGCAATTAAACTACCGGGCAAAAGAAAGTATACACCCATGTTTGGTTGTGGCTAAAAATGAAACAAACAAGAAATGGTCATTCGATGGTGATGTATTTGATACGGGTGTCATAGTTGTGTTTTTGGACCTCCAGTTTGCAGTGTTTCGGCGACTGTTCAGCCTTATCATTCTTTGATAACGTTTGTAATGTTCTGGTAAAAAACAATTTCCAAGAGTGAGTGAGTGAGTTGGGTTTAACGCCGCTTTTAACAGCATTCCAGTCATATCGCGGCGTGTCAGCTTAATGTGGGAGGAAAGCCCGAAGTGATGCAGGTCTCAGACTTTTACCACTTCGGTGAAACCCACGAGCACGGGTATGGTGCTGACAAACCTAGAAACATAATTGGGGCGAACCGGGATTCGAACCCACAATCATAGGTTTCTGGCGTAGCCAAGGGACACAACTCTGCACAGCGAATCGCGCCACCCGTGCCCCCCAATTTCCAAGAGTAAAAACAGGGGTGCAAACTTTTTTAAATACACGACGAAGTAAAAAGTATGCACACCGTTTTTTTACGTTTATATCTGCATAAACGCAAAAAAATATAGAAGACAATTCTTATAATACGAACAATCATTCACCGCAATGATTTAACACAAGCCCCGCCCATTCTATTATTAGCCAATCAGGAATAGTAGTCTGTTGTGGAGACGTAAACGAAAATGGATCCGTCAAATGTCACGGAATGACTTGCAATATATCTATATCGTTTTTAACAATATCGCGAGCTATTGGAGTTCGAGTTGATGATTTGTCGCTAGATCTGTGTGTAATTATTTGTGTCTTGTGTGTACAGTGTCAAGCAACTGGAGTGACTGGGCGCAATGGTCCGAGGGACCGTGTTCTGTCACGTGTGGCCCGGGCAAGGGCGAGGTGACCAGAGCAAGGTTCTGTCAAGATGCTGCAAATAACTGCGTAGGTCCAAGAGTAGACAAGAGGATGACAGATTGCTGGTCCGATGTTCCATGTGGCGGTAAGAGGTTTTAGGGATCTGTAATTGTTTGTTTGTTTGTTTAACGCCGCACTCAGCAATATTCCAGCTATATGACAGCGGTCTGTAAATAATCAAGTCTGGACCAGACAATCCAGTGATTGACATGAGCATCGATCTACGCAACTGGAATGCGATGAGTGATAGAGTGAGTTGTGTTTAACGCCGCTTTTAACAGTAGCCCAGTTATATCACGGCGTGTCAGCTTAATGTGGGAGGAAAGCACGAAGTGTTGCAGGTCTTAGACGTTTACCACTTCGGTGAAACCCACGAGCACGGGTATGGTGCTAACACACCTAAAAGCATAATCGGGGCGAACCGGGATAGGTTTCTGCCTTGCCCAAGGGACGCAACTCTTCATAACGAATTGCGGCGCCTTAGACGACTGGGCCATCCGTGTCCCCTCGAATACGATGACGAGCATCAACCAAGTCAGTAAAGCCTGACTATCCCATTCCGTCAGTCGCCTCTTGAGGTAGGCCGATTCTAACATGTAGGCCGAGTCTTCATGGGTGATCTGGAATTGAAAAAAACAAGTAAGGTAGTGAGTAGATACCGGTTACAACAATGTCACGTCACGGGACAGCAAGTTTGGACATACGTCTATCCATACGGGGTGAGTTAATATTGTTTTTAGTCCGCAGTCATGACCCTGACAAACCAGTGGTTAATGGTGTCGGGAACGATTCAGGCCGTCGTCGTCACATGTAGTAACCGACCCATTCCCATTTTTGTCGGCACTAGCAAGAAACACGGGATTCAGGTATCCTTACTCAGAACCTCAGCGGGATGATGGTTGAGACGAGTAGAGTGAGTGAGTTGGGGTTTAACGCCGCTTTGAATAATGTTTCATTCATAAGAAGGATTAATGATCATAGGGCTGTTTTTTTCACTTGGCCTTTTCAGTCTACCAATTATGGGCCGTTTTGGCCATTTTAGTCAGATCCAAAATCACGATGTGCTCAGAGCTCGTGGCAGGAATTAGATCGTACACATCAGCTACTTCAGTGATCTCAGGAACATTGATGAAAATAGAGGGAAGCAAAAGATTACTTTATGTGAAAATAGAGTACAATATAACAAGATTACAATACTACCATCAACACTGCCTCCTGGCATACCGCTCAGGCCACAATGTATTATATATTCTCATTCAAATGTTTCAAAAAAGGCGATGTGGGAGGCATTATGTTTTTTAATATTATGTTACCTTATAAACAAATTGTTGTATACGCCTGTGTCCATTACCTGTCGACGAATGTGATTCACATAACACATGGCTATTTCACTGGTCAAGGTATTTGATGCATTTCATCAAGTACAGAGAGTGATGAGGTGAAATGGGGTTTAACGTCGCGTTCAATATAATTGCACTTTTAGAGCGATTTGCATGCGCGTGTGTGTGTGGCTGCTTGTACTATCCGGTAGATGCCGATTTTATAGTTATAGCCTACTGATACCATGCCGTAGTTTAACATAAATACCCCACTCAGACACAGTATACTGACCCCGAGCCGACCAGTTCTTGTTTTTGCCCCTTAATGCCGACCACCAGGCAGGGTAACAACAAGTACCATTTTTAACGTCTTTTGGTATGACGCGACCGGGGCCGAACCCGACGCCCAGAAAGTACAGAAAGAAGGGAACGGATTTTAAGATTTCATTTGCAGGAGACAATAATATGATGTGATGCCGGTCGTTTCGTAGTGGACCCGTGAAGATCCCGGGTAGAATAGGTAATCAGCAACCCATGCTTGCCCTAAAAGGCGACTATGGTTGTCGTAAGAGGCGACTACGGGGACCGATGTTCAGGCTCGCTGACTTGGCTGATGCATGTCATAATATCCCAATTGCGTGGATCGATGTTCGTGTCAATCACTGAATTGTCTGATCCAGACTCGATTATTTACAGACCGCCGTCATATAGATGGAATATTGCTGAGAGCGAACATCAAACAGCCAAACAAACGTTTCGTAGTGAGGCGGACGTGGATAAAATCTAAAAACAAATTTATTATGGCGTAACCATTCTATAATATTGTGCTTCAGAACTGGATTGCTACGAGTGTAATGTCTTCAGAAACGGCAAGATCACTCCCTGCTCGGAAGCGAAGGTGGTGAAGGGGTGCAAGGCGTGTATGAAGTCCTTCACAATGATACGACTACACGACAGGGTGGGTTACACTCAAGGTAAGAGGCAAACCGTGTTAGTTCGGACACCGATATAGCGGAAACCTGTCATTCCGGACATTGAATACCCTTGATAACAAACAAACAATCAGTACACAGAACAGAACATTTGTATCGTACGGACACATAATAAAATATAACGTTAAAGGTCGTATCCATAATATTATATGAATGATCAAAGACATATTTCTCTCGGGATAACAAAATACTAGCTTTTCACATATGTTATCTCATAAAAAAACAATATTAAAACGAATTCTCATTTAGTTACCCATTTTTACATGAAAAGATGTCAATAACATCAAATAAAAGATAACCGAGTATTTTATAACATATATGATGAAATCAATGTTCGCCATTTACCCATCTGGAACCAGGCAGATGAAACGCTGAAATGCCACCCGTTTATATAAAAGTAGATTCATATACATACTGTTTCTCTTACAGACTCCATTGTTGAATCTCGACTGTGCGTACGAATGACCGACGCCAAGAAGGTATCAGATGAGGGATGTCACTATCGCACTAGTAACGGTGGATTCGGCGCTCTGTGTTACTGCCTCTCAGATAAATGTAACAGTGGAGAGCGGCAGGGTGCATCTCTCGGTCTTATTGTTTTGTTGGGGTGTGCTTGGACTTTGTGCAAAACGTTTATGTTTGATCATTAGCTGCAGATTTATTTTCGGTCACGGGCGATAAACAAGCACTTCACGTACTGCAGATGTGAAAATCGTTTAATGACACATATTTATGAAGTTAAAACGTGTTTACTTTTGTTTTATGTTACATTAAAATGTTAATATTTAGTGTTCTGACAGGGAAATAGTACTTATTCTGTCATAATCTGTAACAGGACTTTAATATGGGTTTATAATTGGATTTGAATTTTAATCTTATATTTTTCAGTATTGTTTTAAGAATAAAATGCTCTTATTACAACAAAGGAGAAATGGTGTACATATATTTTTACGATCAGTTTTGTACTCAAGTACTTGTATCATATGGCAGACGTGAGACTATACCCGGTCGTCATGTGTCGTCTAGGTTTGTTTGTTCATGTATACATGCACCAAGGTCAACACTAACCAGCGTTAACCAGTCGGTACCGTGTGTTGTATGGTACTCAAAATATTCACTTGACGTCGCATCACTGAGTGTTGATGAAAGGTATAGAGACATCGCATGTATTTGCAAACTAACGTTACTTGCAGGAACACACCGTGTGCATGATGCCCTAGTCTGTCTTACAGACCCTGATACAAATATATATCAAATACAGCCCATGTAAGTCTATAATGTTTGGCAAGTCTAGATTACTGCAGTATCAGTCTGAAAATGAAGATAGTCACTGGGCTCCCTTTTATTATATTTTTATTAAGATAACTGAACAACTGTTTTTTTCTGTACGATATGTTCATTTCAGAGACTAGATGTTAGTCTAATGATGCCCTTATCAAGCACATAACCATCGTATACCCATTTCATTTTTATTATATTTTAGCTACCATCAATCATGGGTGTATGCTTTCTTTTACCCGACAGGTTACTTGCCCAAACTCGACAATAAATACGCGATGAGGTCATCTGCATGTCTTCATTATGTATCTGCAGTTTAGGTGATTTGAGCTTTATATGCATATTCTACAAACTATTACTGGTCGTCAATCTGGCTTTGATCTACAACCCTATCATTGATATAATCAACGATTGTGTGTAACGTACCTCCCGTTTCAGTGTTCTCCTTTGCAACGAATAAATCAAATTATGCATGCTAAACTATGGAATACTGTAAGGGACATTCTCGCGATCTCGACCTTTGGAAACGAGGTAAATATGCCCAAAACACGATTATGACCAAATCTCGCCTTCTCGCGATCTCGCATTCTCGTGTTTTGGGCATATTTAGCTCGTTTCCATAGGTCGAGATCGCGAGAATGCGAGATCGCGAGAATGTCCTTTACAATATTCCATACTAAACACTTTGTTTTGAAGAAAAAAGATCTTGCCGCGTATTGTAATTAACACCAACGTGTTCGCCTTTGTACATTTCAATACACGAACAATACACACATGCATCAACACGTCTTACATTAGCTTATATTGTATATTGACATGCTATCATTAGCGTTCTAAGTGATTTTTAGAAAACGGTGCTATTTTTGCTAAAATATTGTATTGGACCTGACACGGTTTCACTAATTTTTTTTTATTAAATGTCCTCGAAAGTAGGGGGTGGACAATTAAACACATACAATTATTGTACTTGTGATTTGTCAACCGTAATTGATATAGTGAATAAAAAAATCTCTTTTTGGATGACCTATCTTTGAATTATTTGTTTCATTTTGATTATAGTCATTGTTTGGTCTGTGTCCGATATGGACATGTATTTGGATGCCCTTGTCATCCCTTGGGGGTTGGTTACGATGTGTAGCCACGGTATGGTGGTCGTTGATCGATATATCACTAGTGTTACTTCCTCGTGGTTAAAGCGTTCGCTCGTCACGCCAAAGACCCGGGTTCGATTCCCCACATGGGTACGATGGGCGGATACAGCTTTTTTGAAGGTGTGTGTGTGTGTGTGTGTGTGTGTGTGTGTGTGTGTGTGCACAATTAAGATCTATTTATTGTCTTTGGTGGTAATTTATACAGAAATAAAGATTTTTTTCGAAATAAAAAGGGGTGTGTGCGCATCCCCCCCCCCTCCCCTCTGTATCCGCCCATGGGTACTATGTGTGAAGCCCATTTCTGGTGTCCCCAGCTGAAATATTGCTGGGATATTGCTAAAAGCGGCGTAAAACCATACTCAGTCAGTCAGTCTGTGTGTCGGTCACCCCCGGACATGTCAGCTTATTGACTAAATTGATAAAGGGCGTAGATATTTACCACGTCGATGAAACCAACAAGCAGTGATAAAAGCTGACAAACCAAGAATCATAAACAGGAAGAATCTGGGATTCGAAACCACGATCGTTGGATTCTGGCGCACCTAAGGGGTGCAACTCTGGACTATGAATAAAGGCGGCAAAGACCGCTGATGACATTGTATAAGTTAGTATGTGGTCGTTTTAATAATTTCTTCAGTTGCCTGACTGAGCTGGATCCAAGAATCGAGAAGATCGTCGTATTAATTTTAAAAACCCGGAAACAGAATTTATACCATTTCAACTTGGCTTGATTTGATAAAAATAGACTTCTTTGTGTAGTACTTTTTTTTACCAATCTGTATTATCAATTCAAACCATTGTGTATGTCTAACAGAAAAGCAGGCGACGGGTACAGGTTCGTGGACATGCTCCTACAGTACAATTACCATGTTTACTTCCAACAAAAGCGTCTTTTCACCTGTGCGAATGTTGAAATGAACGAGAGGTTTGACTACACATTTGCCTACAGTCTGTCCTATTTGAGAAGGCGTGTAAGGACACTGTCAGTGAAGCGAAGATCTGCTTGTGCTTGTGCTCCCCAGTAGTAACAATGAGTCAATGGTTGCTGTCGACATGGCAGTAACGGGTAGTTCGAAAACATGTGGACTGCGCAGTGTGGGTGTGTAACATGCATCGTTCTTCTTAAGGACGGAATCTACCTCTAACGCTTGAAAGAGAAATCTGTGTTTTTGGATATTGCTCGTATGACTTCAATTTCAGGTTAGTACCAAAATGAAAATACTAATTGTAACCAGTTGAAATATTGATATATGTACGGATAATAGAATCCAAACAATACAACAAACAATGCAATACAAAATAACGCCTTCAACGAAAAAAAAACAAAAACAAACACAAGCGCCCGGAAACAACACACACACACGCACGCACGCACGCACGCACGCACGCACACACACACACACAGAGTAACTCACTCCATAACACCCCCAAAACATCAATAAACAAACAAAACAACTCAATTAGAAAAATAATGAAATAATTCTTCGCAGGGATGATTAAGTACGTAGTCGAGTTGTCGCAGTAAACCGGGGTTCGAATCCTCACATGGTACAATGTGTGAAGGCTATGTGGTGCCCCAGCCAGTACATTGTTGAGACATGACATCGATCCCAAATGCGTGGATCGATGCTCATGATGTCAATCACTGGATTGTCTGGTATAGACTCGATTATTTAAAGAATATAGCTGGAATATTGCTGAGTGCGGCGTTAAACAACAAACAAACAAACAAACAACATGACTGAGATAGTGCCTGTTATGCATCCTCCTCCCTCACGTCGTGTGGTGTTCTGTTGCGACCACAGGGAAGAGCTTCACATATAATCGGCAATATGAGTAAGTACTTCACCCATTTTAAAACTTTTTAACAGACTTCAATATTTTTATGTGGGTATATGGTTTATGGCGGTACAAACGTAAAAACCGGCGTGGTGTACACACTGTGAAAACCCGCGTAATGTAATTCTTGTAAATAAATACGTTAACAATAATTACTTCACAGACTGCTTGGTTAATGTTTAACACAAATAACATCAGTGACATATAATGCAACACAATCCCCGCCCATTCTATTTTCCGCCAACCAGAAACCAGTATGTCCGTTAGTGGGCGTGTACCAGTTGTTCGGTTTATGCAAAGATGAACGTAAAATCAATTTCTTGGTTAGCCAATCAAATGCCACGGAATAACTCACAATTCATTTATTTAGCGGAACCATATTTGGTGAAAGCGTCGTTTCAGAAATAACATATGGTCTGTGTAAGTAAATAGTGAACTAGTAAGAAGAACATTAAGCATTAGTCATAAAGTGGTTCAAAATAGTTTTCTTGAAAAGTGATGAACTGAGATACTTAATGTTTATTATTTGTAAACAAACAAAGCTATTTAATTTTCATCATCATGACCATTATACAACATTATTTTGATACGTTTTAATTTGGATACGAATAGCATATTTCATCTACGTTGAAGTCATGGACACAACGACCGCCTCCGTGGTCTAGTGGTAGAGCGTCCGCCCGGAGAGCGGAAGGTCCGGGGTTCGATCCCCGGCCGCGTCATACCAAAAGACGTTAAAAGATGGTACTTGTTGTTACCCTGCCTGGCGCTCGGCATTAAGGGGCTAAAACAAGGGCTGGTCGGCTCGGAGTCAGTATACTGTGTCTCAGTGGGGTATTCACTTTAAACTGCGGCATGGTATCTCAGTGAGCTAGCACTATAAATCGGCATCAGTCCGGACTAGTACAAGCAGCCACACAAACACACACACGTACATGCACGTCGCTATATAAGTGCAATAATCTTGGACGCGACGTTAAACCCCATTTCACCTCACCTTTCATGGACACAAGGGGGTGCAGTCCGCCCTTAAGTAATGCATTCCGTTTATGCGACTGTCCAATCGCGTCTAGCGAAGCGTGTTGGGTTTGACTTTCGGAACTAGTCAATATGGCGTGGTGGAAAAATGCTTGCCGTCTTCTTGTCGTGTTAGTTCTTTACATCTGCTGTAAACCAGGTAGGCGTTTTTAAATGAAGGCACACATTAATTATTGATAGAAATGACTTAGATTGACATGTATGAGTACCCCTTTAAAGACCCATGAAGATCCGGTCTAGAAAACACACACACACACACACACACACACACACACACACACACACACACACACACACACACACACACACACACACACACAGACAGACACACACAGACAGACACACAGAGACACACAGACACACACACACACACACACACGCCACATACAGACACGCCACATACAGACACGCCACACACACACACACACACACACAGACAGACAGACAGACAGACAGACACAGACACACACACACACACACACACGCCACATACAGACACGCCACACACACACACACACACACACACGCCACATACAGACACGCCACATACAGACACGCCACATACAGACACGCCACACACACACACACACACACACACACACACACACACACACACACACACACACACACACACGCCACATACAGACATGCCACATACAGACACGCCACATACAGACACGCCACACACACACACACACACACACACACACACACACACACACACACACACACACACACACACACACACACACACACACACGCCACATACAGACACGCCACATACAGACACGCCACATACAGACACGCCACACACACGCGCGCTCGCGCCACACACACACACACACACACACACACACACACACACACACACACACACACACGTACATGCACGTCGCTATATAAGTGCAATAATCTTGGACGCGACGTTAAACCCCATTTCACCTCACCTTTCATGGACACAAGGGGGTGCAGTCCGCCCTTAAGTAATGCATTCCGTTTATGCGACTGTCCAATCGCGTCTAGCGAAGCGTGTTGGGTTTGACTTTCGGAACTAGTCAATATGGCGTGGTGGAAAAATGCTTGCCGTCTTCTTGTCGTGTTAGTTCTTTACATCTGCTGTAAACCAGGTAGGCGTTTTTAAATGAAGGCACACATTAATTATTGATAGAAATGACTTAGATTGACATGTATGAGTACCCCTTTAAAGACCCATGAAGATCCGGTCTAGAAAACACACACACACACACACACACACACACACACACACACACACACACACACACACACACACACACACACACACACACACACAGACAGACACACACAGACAGACACACAGAGACACACAGACACACACACACACACACACACGCCACATACAGACACGCCACATACAGACACGCCACACACACACACACACACACACAGACAGACAGACAGACAGACAGACACAGACACACACACACACACACACACGCCACATACAGACACGCCACACACACACACACACACACACACGCCACATACAGACACGCCACATACAGACACGCCACATACAGACACGCCACACACACACACACACACACACACACACACACACACACACACACACACACACACACACACACACACACACGCCACATACAGACATGCCACATACAGACACGCCACATACAGACACGCCACACACACACACACACACACACACACACACACACACACACACACACACACACACACACACACACACACACACACACACACACGCCACATACAGACACGCCACATACAGACACGCCACATACAGACACGCCACACACACGCGCGCTCGCGCCACACACACACACACACACACACACACACACACACACACACACACACACACACACACACACACACACACACACACACACACACACACACAGAGTTTTGACAAACTGCTACATGCTTAGCTTTGTTTTTTTTTTGTGTCCAGTGTCCAGCAACTGGAGCCAGTGGAGACAGTGGTCAGACGAGCCGTGTCCCGTCACGTGCGGCAGTGGCCAGAAGACGCTGACCAGATCAAGGTTCTGCCTAAACCCAGAAAATGACTGTCCTGGACCAAGAGACGAGAAGCGCGTGGACCTTTGTGAGACTAGTTTAGCATGTGGAAGTAGGTGAACGAGTGAATTAATGTTTGAGCAAGCCGATATTTCAGCGGAGGTTTCACACATAATACCAAGCGGTCTTCGAACCCGGTTATTTGGAGTATCAGGAGTCTACATAAGACTTATATACCCTCCCCTGGTGTATCCTGCCAACAGTTTAACTGCTAGGAATGAAAATGAATTACTGGGGAGAGATGTTGAATATTCCAGCTATACGGCGTCGGCCTGTAAATAACCGAGTCTGGACCAGACAATCCAGTCATTGACATCATGAGCATCGATCCACCCAAATGGGATACCATGGCATGCATCAACCAAGTCAGCGAGCTTGACCACCTGATCCCGTTAGTCGCCTTTTACGACTAGCATGGCTTGCTGTGAACCTATTTTAACCCGGATCTTCACGGGTAGGGGATAGGTGTATTTGTGTGAGCTGAGAGTGTGTGAGACGGTGATGCAGTCTTTGGATATCCGAACCGTTACGGCTTTGTGGATTTAAGCTTGCATTCGAAACCATAATTATCTCTTGCCCCCCCCATGGGCATTCGGGGGTAGCATAGGTCATCGCTACAAATACTTATCGCAGAAGGGGCACGGGCGTCTGAGACCCGCATCACTTCGGAATTTCCCCCCACATTTACACTAAAGTACTCACGGAAATGAAAAAAAACTTTCTTTTCGACCTCAGATCTTAAATAAATGCAGTTAATATACAAAATATGTAAATATTCAAACAACTAAATTAGTACTAATTGGGCCGTGGCACAAATACAGCGTATCAAATGTTTTTATGCCTTTTTACACGTAAAAGTGTGTAAAAATGTGAATAAAACAGACTATTGTGAAACAGGGCATAACCAGGTGTAAGTAGATCAACGTGACCTATGACACCTTGGTGACAGGTGAGTACAGGTGCATAATGCCTATAGTCTGTTTCTGCTACATGTATGTCAATTTGGACTTAGTTTTATTTTTGAATGTTGAAAGTGCCGACAAATTACCTCCTGTACATTTTGTATTGTTCACTGAGATCAAACTAGCAAATCCAGACTAGTTCTTTTCGAGTTGTTTTGTTATTTTGTATTTACAGCTACGTAACACTTTGTGTCGATTTTTAAATTGAGAAAAACAGTTTTTTTTCATTTCCGTGAGTACTTTAAAACACGCCGTGATGTAACTGTAATACTGTTCAAAGCGGCGTTAAACTCGCTCACTCACAATACCAGACTGCAATGGGAATCGGTTTGACAAGATGTGTGACGTGGCTGAGGTGTGTTAGCTGCCATTACGACGTCAATCGTTACTCCCGTTGTCAACCGCTCATTCGAGACTTGATTATACTTATAAAAAACGAAAATGATTATTTACAGTTGTAACTTTTCTTGAATGCGGCGTAAAACCAAATTCAATCACTTCAACAATAGAACAGTTTCAACCTATTTGTTCTTCATTGCTTCAGTGTTGGCGTGCTACGAGTGCAATATCTTAAACGATGGTCAGATCAGAACCTGTGCTGAACCCAAGGTAGCGACCGGCTGCTTAACATGTATGAAGTCCTTCACAGTGATTCGTTTAAACGACAGACCGGGTGAAACCAAAGGTATGAGATATACACACCTCGTTATACCAGACAGTGTTAATACAAAAACATCTCTTTGTGGACGTTTATAGCTAAAAACAAACATTGTTATAAACTGTTTACCGATTATTTCTAATGGTATCATGAACGTTGAAAACAAAACGAAATTGCTTGGCACAAAGCTACATTGCGGCATGTCTTTTAAAAAGAAATTAAGATTAACAGGTTTAATTAAAACAATATCTGGTTTTGCAGCTGCAGCTAAACATATCCAGGCTCCATACAAAACCCCAGATTTAATATCATTTAGATGAGGAGCACAAAAATAACATCATAACCTGTGATCGATACAAACATAAATTAATTAGATACATGACAGACCTGAACAAAGAACAATATGGTCACAATCAACCACATGCTATGTTGATTTTAACCCGTATGACTAAGGGGTGGGGTGGGGTGGGGTGACATCGAGACGTGTGGTTCATTGATGGTGTCTTTATTGTATCTTGTATTTGTTTCAGATATGACTGTGGAATCTCGACTGTGCATGAGGCAGTCTCATCACAAGAAAGTTTCTGAGGAGGGCTGTCACTACAAAAAGAATGACGGCGGAACAAGCGCCATGTGCTACTGCAAGTCGGATAAATGCAACAGCGGTGTGCGGCAAGGTGCATCACTCGCCCTTATTGTTTTCTTGGGCTGTGCATGGACTTTTATGATTCATCATTAGCTTCTCGTCCTTGCCGTTTAGAAACTAGATGTTTCATAAATATATTCTTGAACATGTAAATGTTCCATAATGTGAATACACGGCTCATTATTGCATTAGATACGCAATATGCGACATGGTACAATTCAGCTTCGGCGGTCACGCAATTGGGTTCCCACAACTAAGTCTGTTAAAATGCTCAGTCGTCTCTGACTTTTGTGTGTACAGCTCTTCTCACGTGCTCTTTCTTCAGTAGTTTGTTTGTACCCATGTACCCATGTTGTGAATTTCAAAGTGTTCGTCCTGAAGGGACTATATACAACAGAGACTGGTCACAATCTGTGACACCCGCCCACCCCATCCCCAACGCCCCGTGAAATCACGTCAGCGACATATATTGACGTTAGATATGGTATGGATATACCATAAGGGACTAGAATCACCAACACATATACTTATAATGTTAAAATCTTAGCCTAAACTGGTATTCATAAAAAAGAATACCAATATTGAAGGAAGTGATGACTTTTATCGTGAATGTACATATGGATGTGTTTTCCTGTGAATGTGCATATTAAATGAAAATATATTACATTAATAAACACACGATGTATAAATGTATGATTTTTTGTTAACTGTTTTGGAAACTAAGAGCTAGTTGTTTGCTTCCTCGTCTGTCCCGTAACACAGATTAATGCTGAGGAAGAAGGTATTGATACTAGCATGTGTTATGTACGTCCTGATTGACGGACGTAATGTCACACGTACGTCGCGTAGCGAGGAGGGTGAGGTGGGGTGAAATGTGATTTTACGACCACATTTTGATTATATAACAAGTCAAATTTTCAATGCAAATTGTAGTACCGTGTGTGAAACTGGGCTGATGTATTAATAACAAGGGTAACTAGTAGTATTATTATTATTATTATTATTATTACTATTATTATATACTAACCGAAAAAAGAAACGCGAATACCATACATGTTGGTTAATATATGTAACATTACTTATATTCAAGAGATATTAGATTGGTTCGAAGCACAAACAAACTGGTGTGTTGTGTAAACCGACGACGCCCATGAACACATCACACGTGGCGTCTTAGATCCATGACTCGAGAAGCACCATTTGCCTCGTGCAGGAATAGCTTGTAAAGTTCGGAAATCACTCGCAGCATATCGTTACACACTGTGGTAACACTTGACTGATTGTTTTGTCATTAAGTGGTACACATTGGAAGCACATCTTCTTAACGTACATACTTATCTATATGTTTATATGGTTCGCATTTCTTTTGGCGGAGAGTATATTATATAATTTGAGTAAACTATTTTACAAATGTTGTTTGACCTACCTGAACGAAGTTTGCGGGATTGCTTATTGGCACGAACCTAGTGCCTATTTAACTTCTTCAGCAAGAATATTTGTTTTTGCTGGGTTACGTTTGAGGTCCAATAGTATTGTGTATTGCCTGACTATCTATGTACAGATCGCCAGACATCACCAGCCTCGTCAGCTGTTCGAGTCTATCAACCCCTTGCATCAGACATCTTGTCACATTGACATGACATTCGATAAGTTGATAGAGTGACAACACAAATTGGTTCTCTTTGATCAAAGGGAGTGTGTCACTTATGTGAGAACCCGGATGGTGTCCATGGTGGACATACCATGTGTGTGTGTGTGTGTGTGTGTGTGTGTGTGTGTGTGTGTGTGTCTTACGGCGCGTTCAAGATTATTGCACTCGTACATCGATGTTTGTGTACGTGAGATGTGTGACGCCCATTTTTGGTGTCCCCCGCCGTGTGTGTGTGTGTGTGTGTGTGTGTGTGTGTGTGTGTGTGTGTGTGTGTGTGTGTGTGTGTGTGTGTGTGTGTGTGTGTGTGTGTGTGTGTGTGTGTGTGTGTGTGTGTGTGTTATTGTAACGTCTTTTGGAATGACCCGACCCGGGAATCGAACCTCCGACCTTCCGGACACTCTGTCCACTAGACCTCGGAGGCGACGTGTAGCAATCAGGGGATCATAGTTCTGATGATTCCTAATAAGAATATTATGAAAACACGTCTTGTTAAAAGTTGGTGTGAAATGACTATAGATGAAGTGTGAGCAAGTGAGTTAGTGACTGAGTCGGGTTTAACGCCGCTGTGACCAGTATGAAGTTATCATGGCGTGTCAGCTTAATGTAGGAAGAAGGCCCACCTTATGCAGGTCTCAGAAGTTTACTTGTTTGGTGAAACCCACGAACACGGGTATGGTGCTGACAAACCTAGAAACACAATAAGAGAGAACTGGGAATCGAACCCACGATCATAGGTTTTGGAACGCCTATGGGGCGCACGAATTGCGACGCCTCAAACGACTTGATTGGTTGATTGATTTGTCTACTGAATATAAAGTATCTATTTTCATCCTATTAACAGGGTTTTAGGCTAGCCTAGTGGTTAAAGAGTTCGCTCGTCACGCCAAAGACCCGGCTTTGATTCCTGACATGGGTACAATGTAAGGAGTCCATTTCTGGTGTCCCCCGCCGTAATATTGCTGGAATATTGCAAAAAGCGGCGTAAGACCATACTCACTCACTCACTCACTCATTGAAAAGATTATCATAAATTATTACCGAATCATACACTGGAGAATTCTTACTTGTATCTCTATCACAAAAGACAGGACAGGATCAAATCAAAATAGAAGCATGAGATTGTAAAGACACATACATCACTATGATGTCACAGCGTCGACACCGGGTGTTCACGAGACAGGAGAGCATGTCCTGCCCGGCTGAGAAACACTGTTCTATGTGTTCCATTCGAAGCGAATATCATTGCCGGGGTAAACACCCGGAAATTTAGATCGCATTTCATACCATAAAATATCTGCTGCCATTACGGTTAGTTGCCAGGATGTTTTGGAGTTGGCTGGAATATGGCGTAAAACAATACTCACTCAGTCTAATGAGAGACCCGTGAAGATTCCGGGGTAGAATAGGTCTTCCGCAACCCATGCTTGCCATAGAAGCGACTATTCTTGTCGTAAAAGGCGACTAACGGGATCTGGTGGTCACCCTCGCTGACTTGGTTTATACATGTCATCGATCCCAATTGCATAGATCGATGCTCATGATGTCAATCACTGGATTGTCTGGTCCAGACTCGATTATTTACACAGACCGCCGTCATATAGCTCGAATATTGCTGAGTGCGTCGTTAAACAACAAACAAACAAACATTCTAATGAGATCAACGTTTGGTGCTGACATGACGCTGGGGTATCTCACACAAGCATGGCCAAGTTGTGTAATTGTGGCGATAAAAGGTGGGGATGGCACCAGGACCATTAACACACCACTTTTATCACTGATTTATCGCCAGCACTGAAATCCCATGCATGCTTGTCGTACAAGCCGATTTATATGACGCCTTCGGTGGATATAGGGTAAGTCATGTCTGATTTTGTGTCTTTGTACTCCACAGTGTTGTTATCGGTCACTAGTTTTCCTGGACTCGATTATCTGAATATTATTATTAAATCTCTCACTTATCACATCAACCTATTACATATCCTGTCAATCTATCACTGATGTTAACAATCTAAATTGAACACCAGCAACAGCTGCGCGTGTCACTGGTTGGGAAGCATGGTTGTGATAGATAGGGATAGGCCTCATCACTTCCCTCTTGTATAAAGGACGTGGACCACCAGGAGCATCAGACCGTTTTACCGTCGCCATGAAGTTTGTTTGCGTCTTCATCGCCCTAATGGGAGTATGTACCGCCAACTCAATAGGAGGTGAGTCAAGGCTTGTGTTCCGTTAGATCCCTGTATCATCACCTGTGTCAAGACATGTTACTGCATCTTTGGGTTTACGGGTTAGAATTGGCTCCGAGCAACGCTAGGGATAGGTCTTCGGGTGCCATGCTTGTCGTATGTATGGTCATGACTTCATGATTACACAACCCGTGAAGATCCGGGCTAGAGATGGTCTTCAGCAACCCATGCTTGTCGCGAGAGGCGACTAACGGGATCGGGTGGTCAGGCTCGCTGATTGGTTGATACATATCATGGTATCCCAATTACGTAGGTAGAAGCGCATTATATCAATCATTAGATTGTCTGGTCCAGATTCGGTTATTTACAGACCGCCGTCCTATAGCTGGAATAGTAGTGAGCGCGGCGTTAAACAACGACCAATCAATCAATCAATCAATCATGATTACACACCGCCGTAATGTAACAGGGATATTGCTGACTGCGGTATTAAAGAACGTTCACTCGTCTTGTCATCCCAATTGCGCAGATTGATGCTAATGGGTTAAATCACTGGATTGTCTGACCCAGACTTACATACCGCTTGCAAAAAGCTGGAATATTGCTAAGTGCGGCGTTAAACAACAAACACACTTGTCTGGTCGTATATACGTATTAATCATGGAAGTATAGTGACTTTTAATTCTCATGTGGATGTAGACATCCAAACACTGTCCCAGTGGGTGTTCACCATCACCATAAAGACACGCCCACCTCACCCAACTCCTACTTGCGGAATCTGGGTTCGAATCCCGGTTCGCCCCGGTTATGTGTTTAGGTTTGTCAGCACCATACCCGTGCTCGTGGGTTTCACCGAAGTGGTAAACGTCTGAGACCTGCATCACTTCGGGCTTTCCTCCCACATTAAGCTGACACGCCGAGATATAACTGTAATACTGTTAAAAGCGGCGTTAAACCCAACTCACTCACTCACAACTTGCTGAATCCCAGCATAACCCTTCTTATCATATATGAACGTTACAGAAAATATTCCATGGCTTTTCCCGCGAGATAATCCATGTCATCACCACTAGTGTAACAACATGTTGTACGTCTTCACTCCTTCACCCAACATTGTACTTTCATGGTGACATTGTATGCAGTAACAACAGACAATGATATATGCAAAACACCCGTTATTATGCGACCCTAACTACAGGTTATAGATCATGAAATAATACCGTTTATAACATAGATGAAGATAGACGTCTCGCAAGCAACAATAGACGACTTGGTGTGGGGATATGACAGTATCAGCACAGTTGTCCTAGCTTCTGTGGTTTGATCAATGTAATACTTAAGTTTCTTAAGTGTTATATCGAGTTTCTATGCAACCTGGGAAAATATTTCGAATTATGGCATTTTTGTGTGTGAGAGAATAGGGGCGTAATACACAATAGACAAACAACATGATCCGTAAACACTGACTCCTCCTGACAATAGAAAATGGCAAGAATTCCTTTCCCGTGACGTAACCAGTAAAACCTTTCTCGCAAAATTGGAATCAGTTACGCTTAGCGCTCGAAAATGTCATTACGTCAATTGCCTACGTGGCGTTATATTGCTGTTCGGAAATAGGGGACAATATGTCATTCAAAACATTGGCGTTTCGATCATTGCTGCACGGCAAATGTATGTAGCGTTGAACTGGATACTTTGCGGTCGCGAACTTAAAATGTTAATATGAAATGAGTTCTTTGAAAGGCATTTAGCAGTGAAGAGAATTTATTGATGTCAACTTCTTTATTATGGGGAACACACCGTTTCGGAGTATATGGTTACTCCTTCATCAGGTGGCCCATTCGTCTAAGGCGCCGCAATTCGCTGTGCAGAGTTGCGTCCCTCGGACATGCGAGAAACCTATGAATCCCGGTTCGCCCCGATTATGTTTCTAGGTTTGTCAGCACCATACCCGTGCTCGTGGGTTTCACTGAAGTGGTAAAGGTCTGAGATCTGCATCACTTCGGGCTTTCCTCCCACATGGAGCAGACACGCCGTGATATAACTGGAATACTGTTAAAAGCGGCGTCACCCAACTCACTCACTCACTCACTATGACTATTGAAGGAGAGCTACATTCCCGGCTCAGACAAACTGGTAGTCCTGTACACAGAGCTCCAGATAAGCTTTTCGTGTTGTGGGTATTTTACCCATGCATTTTAAAATCATTGGGTATCAGTATTTCTATCTCGGTATTCAAATTTCTGTTACCCACTAGTTTTTACACATGTGGGTATTTAAGTTAAATATTTAAAAACACTATTCATCTAGTCGCTGCAAACTGGTGTCGTGTGGGTTCGAGAGCTTTATAGGACTCAAAAATATCACGATACTTCCATAAGAAAGTGTGATGGCAAATGATCATGATGTAACTGTCATCGTGGAGTTTGGCAAGGTTGACGGAATATTTTTGTAGCGAATCTGTAATGTTCATTGCGTATTTGATACGCTTGGATTTTATTTTACCGCGTATTTCTGCATTTTTGATGCGTATTTTACGCAGATACGCAGCTCATCTGGAGCTCTGTGTACATGAGACTCAAGTCTTTCACACACTTTCTTTGTTAATTCAAATTATATCAACACAACTATTAATGATTCCCCAACTTACATAAAACCGTGTATCAGTTTCACACAAGAGTATCCACTTCAATTTCTAGATCTAGACTGAAAACAGATAACGACCTGTTCAGCAAAATCCCTTTTTAACTGCTCCCTGATCGAGACAAAGAAATAGCGTCAAGTCTAACACCAAAGGCGAAATAAGAGGAGACATCTGATTTGTTCCCGTGCTTACCACGCGATTCACATATGATTCGTTAACTATATGCCTGCCGATTTGACAATGAAATAAAAAGAATGGCGTTGAAATATATGTACACAAGAAAAGGCAACGTGATTTGTAACACATACTCATATCTAACCAGACCCGTGAAGATACGGGATGGAATAGGTTTTCAACAACCCATGCTTGCCGTAAAAGGCGACTATGCTTGTCGTAAGAGGCGACTAACGGGATCGGTCGGTCATCCTCGCTGACTTGGTTGATGAAAGTCATCGTATCTCAATTGGGTCGATCGATGCTCAAGTTGTCAATCACTGGATTGTCTGGTCCAGACTCGATTATTTACAGACCGCCGTCATATAGCTGGAATATTGCTGAGTGCAGCGTTAAACAACAACCAACCAAACAAACAAATAAATCATATCTAACCAACATCTATATTTCTTCGTCAGCCAATCGTCCGAAAAGGGATGACTGTAACTATGCCTTGGTACAAAGGTGCGCCGACAGCATGGGTTCAGGCGGCAGTTACCCTGGCAACGGTTACCCCGGTTACCCAGGAGGGGGTTATCCCGGAAGACCTGATTACAACAACAGGAGGTGGATGGAATGCTGTTACAGGATGTGTGGGTCTGACTGTCTTGACGACTGAGCGACACCTAGCGGCAACACACATCTACATAGGGTCTTCAACACATGAGCGTCGTACAAGAGAAGGACTGTATGCTAACTTATAAACATCTGATGCCATCACACTACAGTAACAGAAGGTTCTTCAAAATGCTGGTAAACTTCCAAGGCAATTTCAACAACCCCCGGGTTCTGATGAATCCATTTCAGTTGTAATACTAGGTTTTACAATTTACGTTTGATAACCTTGCCTCTTGATGTGAACACAATTGTGTTTGATGATTGTTTAAAAGTCACAATTGTTTTTTTAAAAGGAAATTCGATGACGTAAATCGAGCCTGCAACCTTATATATCGTGTATAGTTTTGTTACCCACTGATTTCCAAGTGAGCTACCGGGGCAGGTGATGAAAAGTTGTTCAGTTTATCATGTCATGACTCCAGCTAGTCCATGCTGCACGTAGTACGTCTCTCGCATACTCTTTGAACGAATTCCTTTTATTCCGCGATACGCTTAATTGTTTCACTATGAGGTAGTTTTGGTTGAAAATGTAAAACCTTGAACTCGGGCTTTTCCCTCGCTCGCGGTTTTACATTTTCAACCAAAACCTCGGAGTTGTGATTTATCCTATACATATTACCTTCACTGGGCAAGAAATACAGATGGACGTACTGTTGATGATGTGTTACGTGTCAAAATAAATTCTTATTTCAATACATGTGTTCAAGTTTGAATTCTTCGAGTTTACAGAATATCCAAGGGGTAAAACTACCGTTCAGTGTTTGTTTGTTGTTTTCATGCCTCCCTCAGCAATATGTCAGATATATTAAGGCGGTCTGTAAATAATCGAATCTGGACAAGACAACCCAGTGACTGACATCATGAGCATCGATCTACGCAACTGGGATAGGATAGTATGCGTCAGCCAAGTCAGCGAGCTTGACCACCCGATCCCAGTTGTCAGGAAGTTGAAAATCACATGACCAATGAAGTTTGCAAATAACAAGTCTCCTGGCCCTGATGGCATGGCTTCAGAGAACTTAAAAAAATACTAAACATCTCATAACTCCTATTCCTTCTTTACTTTTTAATCCATTATCTGAAAGCGGTGTGTTTCACCAGCTATGGGGCAGAAGTATCATTTGTCCACTATTTAAATCTGGTGACAAGAATGAGGTTAACACGTTTTCAGACTTTAACAGACCTCAATAGTATTGTGAAGAAAATAAGGTAATTGATGAAATACAGGCTGGATTTAGACCAAACCAAACGGCCGACAATATTTTTCCACTACACGCAATGATACAGAAATAAGCATGGAAAAAGAAGGGGAGATTATACTGCCTCTTTGTTGACTTTTCGAGGGCTTTTGACACATGTGAGACAAGCCATGTGAAACATGGAACATAAAGTTTATAACATATTTCCATCAATGTTCTCAAACCTATGTGCTCGTGTGAGGAGTTCAGATGGACTGACAAGCCACCGTCAGTGATAGGTTATGATCTTTCAAATATTTATTGGATTTATAAACAAGCTTATTCAACTACAAGGATTTTGGAGGTAAAGGAGTTTTTTTTATTTCAAAGTATTGTAAATATATGTGCCATAACGTTTGCTGATGGTATTTCTTTTGTGGCAGATTCCCCATAAACTACAAAAGAAAATAAGTGCTTTAGAAATGGTTTGTTCCAGAACTGGCATGAAGGTTAATCTGTAAGAAAAAAGACTCAAGTTATGGTAGTTAGAAATAGAGGTCCTATGAGAAGTTATGAAACGTGGACATAGTGTGGTGAAAATCTTGAAGCTGTTTCATTTTACATATATCTGGGAATAATGTTTACACCTTAATTGATTTGGACACAAACTCAGACCTGCTTAGCCGCTCAGAGTACTGTGCTGGTTATAAACAGATATCAGAGGAAAGTCGGTGATATGCCATGCAAGGAATTATTCAAATCTTTTAATGCTATGATAACCCTGTGTTATTGGGCTGAAGGTTTGGGAACCACATACTGTAAAATAATTGAAGATGTTTAAGTGAAAATATGTAAATCATTACTAAAGTTTAGGGAAACACTTGTACAGACAACTACGGTTATAACGAACTCAAAGGGACTACTAATTTTAGTTCGTTATAACCGTAGTTCGTTATAAGCATATATACAGCATAACTACAGCAAATAGTCGGGACCAAAAAAGTAAGTTCGTTATATCCGTCAGTTCGTTATAAGCGTGTTCGTTATAACCGTAGTTAATTGTAATATGATGGCCCTTGGCGAATGTGGTAGAGCACCCCAGCAATGCACATATATGACAAGAGCTGGTTGAGGCTTTTACATCTCAGCCTAGACAGACCACCCTACGAGTGCTACAAGATGTTAACTGCGTTGCATGATATTGACAGGACTACTTGGACCACCCATATTAAGAATATTAAATATATATTTGGATTCGGGTTTGCATTGATATCCCAGGCTGTAGGCAATAATGATATGTTTATACATTTATTCAAACAGAGACTCTTTGACAATTTACAGGAAACCTAGTGCGATAAAGTCAAGAACCTATCAGACTCATAGTCTTATCAACATATTAAATCACTTATAAACATTGAAAGTTACTTAAATATTCCTCTGCCACCTCATCTTAGAAGGATTTTATCACGCTTCAGAGGCAGCAACTTTAACATTGCAGTAAACACAGGAATACCCCATTCTACACCAAAGGATTGGCTGGTTTATTGTTTTACGCCGCATTCAGCAATATTCCAGCTATATGACGGCGGTCTATAAATAATCGAGTCTGGACCAGACAATCTAGTGATTGACATCATGAGCATCGATCCACGCAATTGGGATACGACAAAGTCTGTGAGCCTGACCATCCGTTCCTGTTGGTCACCTCTGACGACAAGCATAGTCACCTTTTACTGCAAGCATGGGTTGCTGAAGACCTATTCTACCCCGGAATCTTCATTGGTCACATCAAATGAAGAAAGACTCATATTGTCTCAGTGAAGGAAAATATTTTATTGAAGATGAATTGCATATTTTGTTCGTGTGTGAACTTTATAATCACCCAAGAAATAACTTAATGGGTAAATGTATAACCACCCCATCGATACACTCTTTTATGGACTTGATTGCATGACAAGACTATGAAATACTGCATAACATCCGTGTATTCCTCCTGAAGGTAAACCAAATTAGAAACACTGTTCCTTAATTTATGCTTGATATAAATACATATCCACTTCTGTATGTGTTATGTATAACTATATTGTGCAGATGGTTATATCTCTGCTAGTCCAACCAGTCACCAAATGTAGCTGTCTGGAGTCCCACCAGTCACCAACTGTAGCTGTCTAGAGTCCCATCAGTCACCAACTGCAGCTGTACATAGGGACAGCTTCACCCTTATGGATTCTGATTGACATACCTAGCTTAAATCTGGACCTTGCCATCTTCTTCTCATACACACGGTAGTTTCCCTTCAACATCTCCTCCACGAACCAGTTCCTCCAGTCTCCAACGATAACTGAATATTCGCCTCAGAGGAACATCTATGTGAAGCAGTTCCTCCGGTCACCAATTGTATCAGGAGGCAGAAGGCATTGCTTCATCCTTCCAGCTTCTGTTTAGCATATCTGTCGTAAAACATGGACCCGGACATTTTCTCCTCATACACGCTGTAGTACTTCTCCAACATCTCCTCCGTGAACCAGTTCCTCCAGTCTCCAACGATACCTGAAATATAACATATATAGTGAAATCACGTTGATCCATTCACCCCGGCCCCGATAAGTACAAAGGCACATGACTCAACAATTGAAGAATGGATAATGACTTTTTTTAATCTCAAAGAGAGTACAGGGAGTGCGAAATGGCGTCCGTTTTGTGTTGTGTAACATTGGCAGAAGTTAAGGAATGAAGTGTATTTAGAATATCCAGATCAGTGTGTGTGTTTGGCGGAGACTCATCGCAACCTAACGAAGATCCGGGGTAGAATAGGTCTTCAGCAACACATGCTTGCCGTAAAAGGCGACTATGCTTGTCGTCAGAGGCGACCAACAGGACCGGGTGGTCAGGCTTGCTGACTTACTCGTATCGAAATTACATAGTGCGATGCTCATGATGTCAATCACTGGATTGTCTGGTCCAGACTCGATTATTTACAGACCGCCTTTATGTAGAGTGAATATTGCTGAATGTGGCGTTAAAAAACAAACAAACAAATAAACCTAACCCTAACCCTAACCCAAGACACATGCACGACACTGTCACGACACAGACATAATCCCGACACAAATACTCTCAGGACGTATACACAATCAGGACACATGCATGACACTGTCACGACACAGACATAATCCCGACACAAATACTCTCAGGACGTATACACAATCAGGACACATGCATGACACTGTCACGACACAGACATAATCCCGACACAAATACTCTCAGGACGTATACACAATCAGGACACATGCGTGACACTGTCACGACACAGACATAATCCCGACACAAATACTCTCAGGACGTATACACAATCAGGACACATGCGTGACACTGTCACGACACAGACATAATCCCGACACAAATACTATCACGACGTATACACAATCAAGACACAGACACGGGAACAATTAATACGTAATTAAGAAGTATGCACAACCAAGACACTTATGGAATCAAGACTGTCTCACCTTTCCTGTACAGGACGTTTTTACCATCAACCTTGCGAGAATAAGGCTCCTTGTCAACGACCATCCGGGAGAACTTGCATTTGTCTGCAATCGCTCGGCACAGATCGTCATTTCTGGATAGCTCGAGGAAATCCGAGAGATTTCGGACCGCTTGCAGCGTGTCCTGTGACATGTTCAGATGTGACAACATATTTCACTTCATTAATGTTTTCAAACTAAAAGAGAGAGAGTGAGAGAGAGATAGATAGATAGATAGAGAGAGAGAGACAGAGAGAGAGAGAGAGAGAGAGAGAGAGAGAGAGAGAGAGAGAGAGAGAGAGAGAGTGGTGGTTGATGAGGCAAAGGACAAACAGAGAGACAGACAAACAGACTGGCTTAACGTTTTATCAACTTATGTTAATAACATCTCAATGTTACCTACAAAATATAAGTTGTTTGAACGTACCGACTTTCTGGACTCTTTTCGTGGTACAAAAACAACTAGTTTAATGAGAAATACAAATCTTTCAACCGCATAGCAACACAAACTTTAATTGCATTACCTCCACAGAGAGGGAAACACACATGACTTCATTTAGTATCAAAATTGTTACCTTGGCTGTTTCTTCATAGATCATAAAGTGTACTGGGATATCTGGGTTTTCAGCAACAAACTTTTCAGCATCACGAATATGGCCAAAAAAGCCATTCATATCAACTGTAGAACAATAGAAAAAAATGCGATTAATGTTGATACACAACATAGAAGTTTTATTTGGTTCTTGCATTTGGTTCTATAAACTAATTAAATAACAGAGGAATAAACCGGTTATGTACCAAGATTTATATATTGATACGAAATCTAAGATGGCCGCTATGTTTTAAGATGGCGGTCAATTAATGATTGTAACAAACAGGATGCATTCGTGACAAAGATAATTAATATAACAGCCTGCTTTAAGTGGGAAGGGTGTGACGCTGCAAAGGATGCAGGATTACTCAGGGCAGCAATGAGGATAACTCACCCTTTCCTTCAAGAAATAAAGTGAGAAAGTCTTCAAAAACACCCTTTTTGTTCACATAAAACTTGCAGTCTACATATGCGCTGTATAAAGACACAGCGACATCTCTGGGATCACGGAGCGGATAGATGACCTTGCATTTCAACTTTTTCAAATCAGTTGGTGCGTTGGAAAGCCATTGGTGGGCGGTGATGACACGTGGTGAAGGGAGACAACTCAAGTCTTCATTTGTTGCAAATTCCAACTGATTATGTCCCTTGTATTTCGGAATTGTCTCGGCTCTACCATTCAACAGCATTGAGGCCATTTCAAATGTCCAGTGAGTACCTAGTTCAATTAAGGACAGGCCTACAAATACGTTCAACATATATCATCACTTCTATACCCTGTAATGTAACGCATTATACGATATAAAAAGAAACTTCAAAGCAACGTGATAATTTTATTGTTAATAATCCTCGAAAAGGTAAATTGTACATTTTTATTTCCAAACTGAAAAAAACTGAACTAAATACTGAAGGTTTGATGTTTATTTTACCCTGAAATGAGGCTGCAATTGCGTCAGTTCCAAGGTAGCATCTCAATTTATCTTATAAATATCAAAGCAAACAGTCACATTCAATGGAAAGTCTTCATCAATATATATATATATATATATATATATATATATATATATATATATATATATATATATATACCCTGTAAGAAGCCAAAATGAAAACTGGTGAATTTGGACCATATAGTTAATATGTATAATATAATAGTAGCGTAGATATTAACTATATGTACGTATTAATTGGTCTTATGTTACCCTTGCAAATATATAACAAGGGGAGGTAAATGCTCTGGGGTCAGGTATTTCAAGCCATGTGGTCTGAGAACGTGCATGTCCAAGTCACCAAATCAAAATGTATGGTCTTAAACAATGTCAAGCTGTTTACACATGTTGTATCTGTATCTGTTTCCTCGTCAAAAGATAGTAATGTCATGCCATTGTAATATTTAAGAGAATATTTGGATAATTGTTACATAAAGGAAGGTGTTGATCGAAGGGGGTTTCTTCTTTTTCAGATCGTCAGCATCCGTATCAATTCCAAAGTCGTGAATCAGATTTACTTATTTGTTGTTTGGCATCGCAGTTGGCACCATTCCAACTCTATTACGGCGGTCTGTAAATAATTGCAAATGAGCCAGGCAAACCAGTGGGGTGATATTATGAAGAACGTCCCTGCCGTCAAAGTTCGATGACACGCAATAAACGAATATGACCAACCGATCCACTCTAAACGCCTCTGATAACATGCTTTGGTCAGGGGATCAACTCTAACCGGGACTCACTGTGATGAATTGGGTTATTTTAAAGGATGGTTACTGTCTGTTTATTCATGTTGAACAAGTAAATAGCAATATCCTCTGCTAAACAGAGACATTTGTCTGATTCCGACTGTATACATCAGCATGCGTTTGTGAATCACTTTCAATTAGTGATGATTCCAGGTAAGTGAGTGAGTTTGGTTTAACGCCGCTTTTAACAGTATTCCAGTTATATCGCGGCGTGTCAGCTTAATGTGGGCAAACCGGGATTCGAACCCACAATCATAGGTTTCTGGCGTGCCCATGGGACGCAACTCTGCACAGCGAATCGCGGCGCCTTAGACGACTGGGCCACCCGTGCCCCCGATTCCAGGTAAGGTAACCCCAGGCAATGGTTTGGCATGTCACGAGTTCTGCTGCAAGGAATACATAGCAATCTGTATTTCACCCTACTGTACTCTAGAACAATGTGTGTACTTACATTGTGCTTGCCTCCATTCACTCGGCGCATGCTCAAAGCGCACTTGATTTTCATTCTCAACTCTTTGGGGAGTATACAACCCAATCTACATTGTCATGCGCAAAAAGGTAACAGTCACGTGACCATTTCATACTACCGGGTACCCATTCACTGCTGGGTAAACAGAAGCATATTTCGAACAAAGCCACTTGTCTAAGGAGACACCACATGTGCTACAAGTGCTACATGTGCTTCAGTGTGGGGCAGGACCGAAGCCCTAGAAACTCTCAGTCGTCAAGCAACACCATCATTGTAAGTGCGTCACCGAGCGTGGTCACCCATCCAACTACCCTCCGCGACCGATGTTGCGTAACTTCACCTGATTTGTGACCTGTGCGCTGTGCACAGCACCAAGTGCCACCGTCATCATGTTATGCCTTGCAATTATATTTTCAATTTCACTGTGACAACCTATCGTGAAAGATAACTAAATAATACCAAATACTGAAAGTGAGTGAGTGAGTATTGTTTTACGCCGCAATTGTTTTAGAAATATTCCAGCAATATCACGGCGGGGGACACAAGAAATGGGCTTTACACATTGTACCCAAGTGGGGAATTGAACCCGGGTCTTCGGCGTGACGAGCGAACGCTTTACCCATTAGGCTACCCCAACGCCCCGAAAATACTAAAAGAGTGACCAAATCTAAATGTACATAATCACCGTGCTCCATCTCCCCCCCCCCCCCTCCCCCCTGAGTTATTACATGCAAACACTACGGCATCAACGTTCTAAACGCATTCATAACAAAACATCATCATCGACTTCATCTACAACGTGGTATAATATGGTGATCTTTTATTCCTTTCAACACCATGTTTAAGTGTGCGATCTTTCTTGTCTAATTAAAATAGAGCAGTGAAGATCCGGGGTAGAATAGGTCTTCAACAACCCATGCTTGCCGTAAAAGGCGACTTTGCTTGTCGTAAGAGGTGACTAACGGGATCGGGTGGTCAGGCTCGCTGACTTGGTTGATGCATGTCATCGATCCCATATTGCGTGGATCGATGCTCATGATATCAATCACTGGTTTGTCTGGTCAAGACTCGATTATTTACAGACCGCCGTCCTATAGCTGGAATATTGCTGAGTGCGGCTTTAAACAACAAACCAGCCACATCTAATTTAATAAATAACTTTACCTGTTCGTGGATACGCAGGGAAGTACACATCATCCGGCCTCAGCCTCACGGACCTGATCTGTCTCAGAATGGTAGGCCTGTAGAAACAGTGGCAGTACATCCCCTGGAATATCTGCAGCCTGAGAGAGTTGCCTCCCTTATCATCCAGGTAGACAACGTTTTGTGGTTCGTTTTCATCCACCTTTGTAAACGATACATTGCACAATACTTGAGAACAAACGATAATCATTTGTACATTTACATAAGATCGTGGTCGTTACTGAGAAACAGTATGAAGCCAAACTGATATATTAGGAAAATCATCATATATCGGGGGCACGGGTGGCCCAGTCGTCTAAGGCGCCGCGATTCGCTGTGCAGAGTTGCGTCCCTTGGGCACGCCAGAAACCTATGATTGTGGGTTCGAATCCCGGTTCGCCCCGATTATGTTTCTAGGTTTGTCAGCACCATACCCGTGCTCGTGGGTTTCACCGAAGTGGTAAACGTCAGAGACCTGCATCACTTCGGGCTTTCCTCCCACATAAAGCCGACACGCCGCGATATAACTGGAATACTGTTAAAAGCGGCGTAAAACCAAACTCACTCACTCACTCATCATATATCAGAAAACTTTGTTGCTTAAGGCCTCACTCAGCAATATTACAGCCATATGATGGCGGTCTGTAAATAATCGAGTCTGGATCTATTAGGTTTAGAGATATGGTCCCGCACAAACACACCAGTGTGAACAGAGTCAAAGTCAAACTTGTTGCCATGGAAACGGAATCTAAAAACTCCAAGGTAGCAAAAGGCACCATTTGAAAACCTTGTCTCTGTGTGTGCAAAATGTCATGAAAGAATACCTATTAGTTTTAGAGATATGGTCCGGAGAAACACAATACTATGAACTGAGTCAAAGTCAAACTGGTTGCCTTGGAAACAAGAAAAAAACTTAATTTACATTAAACAGCAAAAGGCACCACTTCAGCCCTTGAAAAAATACATCTTCCAAGTTTGGATGAAAAATGTTGAACAGTGTATAAGTACTGCTCCGGAAGCGACACCCGCCACTGTTTCAGCTAAGTCTAACTTGTTACCACGAAAACAGGGAAAAATCAAATTTTGAAAAAGAAAAGGAAAAGGCACCAATTCAGCCCTTGGTGTGTGTTTGTGTGTGTGTGTTTTTTTGTGTGTGTGTTTTTGTGTGTGTGTTTTTTTGTGTGTGTGTGTGTGTGTGTGTGTGTGTGTGTGTGTGTGTGTTTGTGTGTGCGTGTGCGTGTGCGTGTGCGTGCGCGCGTGTGTATGTGAGCAGAGTTGCGTCCCTTGGGCACGCTAGAAACCTATGATGGCGGGTTTGAATCAAGGTTTGCCCCGATTATGTTTGTGTACATTTGTCAGCACCGAAGTGGGAACCATTTAAGACCTGCATCACTACGGTCTTTCCTCCCACATTTAAGCTGACACGCCGTGATATAACTGGAATACTGTTCAAAGCGGCTTTTAACATGTCGTTAACTTAAGGGATTACGGAAGACGGACCACGTAACTAATAACAATAACAACCTCCTCGACGACCTCGTCTTGCGTGTTTGTTTGTTATTATTCTCAGCTACATGGGCCTGTGCTTGAACGGTTCAGGCGAGCTATAAATGCGCAACAAAAATATAGACTGTAAACATTCGTTTGGTTTCAATATCGCAAACGCAACACTGTCGGATGCTTGACCTGTATTTCAAAACATTGTTGTGTTGATGAATAATGTACTCATTTATAAGGACGATTTCTTGAATACGTACCTCCTCTATGGGTGCATCGACAAATGTAAGCGCCATTCTGCGATGCTGCTGTCTGTATGACCCTCAATGCTTGTCAACATCTGCCAACGCCGAGCCGTGTGCCAAGCATAACGCATAAATTCGTTCTATGGTAAGCGAGGCGTAGTTTTGCGCTTGGTTAATGATTCAGTTGTGAACACATGTTCCATACATACTCAATCACAGTGTCGGACTATTGTGGTATTTATGCATAAATTGCAGCCGTACAATAATACTAACACTTGCAGAGTATACTATTAAACTTATCATGGGATATCATTATTATTTAAATAATGAAATGTTTGAAATTAAAATGATCTATTCGAAAAATCAGTTGGCCATAGATGACCAGGGGGAACAAGAATGCTGACGTGTGGCACGCGTCACGTGATTTCCAAGAAGTTTACTGATGTCATATCATTGCACATGCCACGAAACCTTCCCGGGGCAAGTGTGTCCACTAGCCTATATCAAAGCCTAGTTCCTGACCTTGCCACATCAAGGCCACTGTTCGTGGCTCGACCGTGGCGCCATCTCGCGTAGATCACGAGTTGTGCCCCTTGTAATGAAAACGCGACATCCAATCAGATCGCTGTTATCTCGAATAGCTTCACAATGATGGCGACTTCCATAGGCGACGACCTAGTCGATCAGATAACGAAATCATTCGCGATTTCATCCCTGAGCAAACACATAGGCAATCGTTTTTCAATGAAAAAGAGGTGTCAACAAAGAAGGCAGCGGTAAATCACTTTCATGCGATGGTGTATCAGTCGTGGATGTTGATTTTGTGAAACGTTCTCTGATTAAACTATCAAACTTAGCACAAAAAAGTGAGCTTGATGTGGCAAGGTTGGAAACAAGACTTTGATAAAAAGGCTATTGGACGCTCTTAGGGTAGGGAGGGAGGGAGGGAGGGAGGTAGGTAGGGAGGTAGGTAGGTAGGGAGGGAGGGAGGGAGGGAGGGAGGTAGGTAGGTAGGTAGGTAGGGAGGGAGGGGGAGGGAAGGGGGAGGGAGGTAGGTAGGTAGGTAGATAGGGAGGGAGGGAGGGAGGGAGGGAGGAAGGTAGGGAGGGAGATAGGGAGGGAGGGAGGGAGGGAGGGAGGTAGGTAGGTAGGTAGGTAGGGAGGTAGATAGCACAAAAAAGTGAGCTTGATGTGGCAAGGGTGGAAACAAGACTTTGATAAAAAGGCTATCGGACGCTCTTAGGGTAGGGATGGGGGTAGGTAGGGAGGTAGGTAGGTAGGTAGGTAGGGAGGTAGGTAGGTTGGTAGGTAGGTAGGTAGGTAGGGAAGGAGGTAGATAGGTAGGAAGGGAGGGAGGGAGGAAGGTAGGGAGGTAGGTAGGTAGGTAGGTAGGTAGGTAGGGAGGTAAGGAGGTAGATAGGTAGGTAGGTAGGGAGGGAGGGAGGGGGGTAGGTAGGTAGGTAGGTAGGTAGGTAGATAGGGAGGGAGGGAGGGGGGTAGGTAGGTAGGTAGGTAGGTAGGTAGGGAGGTAGATAGGTAGGGAGGGAGGGAGGAAGGGAGGGAGGGAGGGAGGGAGGGAGGTAGGTAGGGAGGTAGATAGGTAGGTAGGTAGGGAGGGAGGGAGGTAGGTAGGGAGGAAGGGAGGGAGGGTGGGAGGGAGGTAGGCATGTAGGTAGGTAGGTAGATAGGTAGGTAGGTAGGGAGGGAGGGAGGTAGATAGGTAGGTAGGGAGGGAGGGCGGGAGGTAGATATGTAGGGAGGGAGGGAGGTAGGTAGGTAGGTAGGTAGGTAGGTAGGTAGGTAGGTAAGGAGGTAGATAGGTAGGTAGGGAGGGAGGGAGGGAGGGAGGGGGGTAGGGAGGTAGGTAGGTAGGTAGGGAGGGAGGGAGGTAGGGAGGTAGATAGGTAGGTAGGGATGGAGGTAGGTAGGTAGGTAGGTAAGTAGAGTTGGGAGGATGTGCGAGGGGTGATGTTGAACTGTCTTGTGCATTATGCAAAATGCTTGTTTCTCTACCAGTGATGTGTAACATTGCCTGTATTGTTGCCGCGCGCAATACGTGTTTGGTTGCGTGAGGGTTGGGACACGTGTTTGTGTATAGGAAGTGGTCTGGTTGTGAAGGTAGAGTGTGATTGGCGTTTAGTGAAAGACGAATCTCTGCAAGTGGGTATATTTACTATATTTTGAAGTTTGTAAATAAACATTTTTTGCATGTACTCAACCTGTGATCCTTACTTCTGTATTGTGATATAAACATCCGGGCAAAATAAGGTACCTATGCATGGTGGCTGGAAATGAAACAAACAAGAAATGGGATTCGATGGCGATGTTGGTTGGTTGGTTGGTTTGTTGTTTAACGCCGCACTCAGCAATATTCCAGCTATATGACGGCGGTCTGCAAATAATCGAGTCTGGACCAGACAATCCAGTGATTGATATGCGCATCGATCCACGCAATTGGATCAACCAAGTCAGCGAGCCTGACCACCCGATCCCGTTAGTCGCCTTTTACGACAAGCATAGTCGCCTTTTACGGCAAGCATGGGTTACTGAAGACCTATTCTACCCCGGATCTTCACGGGTATCGATGGCGATGTATTTGATACGGGTATATGTAGGGTCATCAATAGCTGTAGCAGACCATGGCGGCAAACAAAACTTTGTTCATCACCCCAATGCCACAATGGACACGTTAGACATAATTCTTGTGAATCAAATGCACACTGAGGAAACACGTATTTAATATTTTTCAACAATGAATCACGTAATATGGCTTTAACTGCACAATCAGCATTGAGAATCACCAATAGGCACATGTGCACATATCGGAAGGTGTTCTGCTTCCCATCTGGGTAATATGGCATTATAGTTTATGTGTAATATGTCTTTATATTTCTTGGGTAATATGTCTGTATATCTTGTAACAAATGCTATATTTGGGATGATGCTTTATCCGTAAAGTACAAATTCTAGTACATTTTTGGGTGGAGTCCCGTCTCTCGGAGTGAGGCACCTAATCGCCAGCACACAAAGTCAGCGATCTAACCCACTCAGCCACCGAGGCTTCTACAAAAATGAAAGTCCAACAACAGGTAGTCACATTGATCAGAAGATCAGTACTTTATGTCCCCCTCTGTGTATTGATGTCATTATGTTGTATGATACTATTAGAATTGTAGTGTCACGGTCCTTTTCCCTTGTCAACGGAGAGATGTGATTAACACAATGTGAGTGAATATGGTTTTACATCACTCGTAGCAATTCATGGTCATGAATGGGCCTGATAAAGTATACAATGTGGGGGATCAAATCGGCGCGACGAGCGAACACTTTAACCACCAGCAGTCCCTAATTCCCCGTAACAATAACAGGTTCATATGATGAGCAGTGGTAAGAATAATTATAATATCTTCAGTATGACACTTGAGTTTTGAGTTTCAGTTTAACTACAGTTATATCACGGTGTCTCAAGTTGATGTGGTAGCGAAGCCTGGCGAAATGCAGGTCATAGTCGTCAACCACTTTGATGAATCCCACGAGCTCAGATATAGCGCTGACAAGGCTGAAACTTTATTACGTTGAACCGGGATTCGAACCTAAGGGACGTAACCCAGAACAGGGCGCCCTAGATAGCTGGCCATCCGTACCCATTACCTGTGTGTAAGGCGGTTGCGTCTTCAATCAATCAATGGAACTGTAATATCCATCACCTTGACATATATCTGGTTGACGTATATCAGTTACGTATAGTTCATTGTACCTCGGTGTAGAGAGTTGCACATGACATCAGTCACTGACTTGTAACGTAACGTATGGTAACGTATAGTTCATTGTACCTCGGTGTAGGGAGTTGCACATGACATCAGTCACTGACTTGTCGTAACGTAACGTATGGTAACGTATGGTTCATTGTACCTCTGTGTAGAGAGTTGCACATGACATCAATCACTGACTTGTCGTAACGTAACGTATGGTTCATCGTACCTCGGTGTAGAGAGTTGCACATGACATCAGTCACTGACTTGTCGTGACGTAACGTATGGTAACGTATGGTTCATCGTACCTCTGTGTAGATAGTTGCACATGACATCAGTCACTGACTTGTCGTAACGTAACGTTTGGTAACGTATGGTTCATCGTACCTCGGTGTAGAGAGTTGCACATGACATCAGTCACTGACTTGTCGTAACGTAACGTAACGTATGGTAACGTATGGTTCATCGTACCTCTGTGTAGAGAGTTGCACATGACATCAGTCACTGACTTGTCGTAACGTAACGTTTGGTAACGTATGGTTCATCGTACCTAGGTGTAGGGAGTTGCGCATGAAATCCGTCACTGACTTGTCGTAACGTAACGTATGATTCATCGTACCAAGGTGTAGGGAGTTGCACATGACATCAGTCACTGACTTGTCGTAACGTAACGTTTGGTAACGTAATATGGTTCATCGTACCAAGGTGTTGAGAGTTGCACATGACATCAGTCACTGACTTGTCGTAACGTAACGTATGGTAACGTATGGTTCATCGTACCTAGGTGTAGGGAGTTGCACATGACATCAGTCACTGACTTGTCGTAACGTAACGTATGGTTAATTGTACCTCGGTGTAGGGAGTTGCAGTTGACATCAGTCACTGACTTGTCGTAACGTAACGTTTGGTAACGTATAGTTCATCGTACCTCGGTGTAGGGAGTTGTACATGACATCAGTCACTGACTTGTCGTCACGTAACGTATGGTAACGTATGGTTCATTGTACCTCGGTGTAGGGAGTTGCACATGACATCAGTCACTGACTTGTCGTAACGTAACGTATGGTAACGTATGGTTCATTGTACCTCGGTTGCACATGAAATCAGTCACTGACTTGTCTGGTCCAGAATTGACTATTTCCGTATAACTAAAATATTGCCTAGATCCGTGTAAAACAACAAGTAAACAAATACAGGGTGTCGTCATATAACCGTAATATTGTGCGGCGTAAAATAACAAACAAACAAACACGAAACTTACAAATACAGACCAATACCAATGTAGAGAAGGTTGTTTGTTTGTTTGTTTGTTGTTTAACGCCGCACTCAGCAATATTCCAGCTATATGACGGCGGACTATAAAATAATCGAGTCTGGACCAGACAATCCAGTGATTGACATCATGAGCATCGATCCACGCAATTGGGAACGATGGCATGCATCAACCAAGTCAGCGAGCCTGACCACCCGATCC